CAACAGCACTGACAGCGAATTGCTGGTGCGTGCCATCCGTGCCCCGATGTCGTAAGCCCGGCACAGTAAGCTGTCGGTCACCCGACACTGGGTGCTCGGACAGCGGACCCTGTCCCTCAATGCCTCATCCGGGGAGAGCACCAGAGAGGCAACGCAGTGGTCCACCGGGGGCATGCGGTCCAACCCGTAGGTTCCTGCCTCCCGCATCGATGCCAGGGTCCTGGCATCCCTACCATGGTGGGAGAGCTGTCTCGGGTCCCCCCAGCACCGCTGCAGCTCCTCCACAAAGGCTGGCGATGGTGGGACCTGAAACGGGGGCGCCGCCGGAGCCCGGCGGAAGAAGGGATTCCCCGCCGGACGGGCCACCGGCACGTCGTCCAGTCCAATCCTGGCCAGTGCCGCTCGCAAAATCGCCCGCAACTGACAGGGGTCCTCCGCCAGCTCCGAGCTTGCTGAGCTATGGAGAGACATCCCCGAGTTACCGTGACCTCCCAGGCCCGGGGGCTCCATCACCAGCCCCTGACTACGGCCAGGAGAGGGGCCCTCCTCCTCGAGGGACTGAAACTCAGAATTTGAGGCCCTCACAGAGATCAGGTCGTCCGGGCCCCCCTCGTCCGGGGCTCTGGTCAGCAGCGCTTTGAGCTGTTCCACCTCCGCCCGCAAAGAGTCCACTTCCTGGCGAGAGGGTTGCGCCACACGCCGCTTCTTGCGCCTCGGGCTGCCGCGTTCCTCAGCCGGTCTATCCCTCCGTCTCCCGGAACACGGGCGAGGGACACCAGAGGGCGGCAGGTCTGACTCAAACAGGAGGCACTCCACTTGACGTAGCCTGTCCTCCTGCACCGCCAGCGGCAAAATGCTGCAGTTCATGCACGGGTCAGTCAGCCCCTCTCTGAGGTGACCGACGCCCAGGCACTTAGGACACAAGTCGTGGCCGTCCTCCACCTGGAGGGGAGCCCCGCATGACGTACACTCCAACATCCTTACCAGTGTGGGAGACGCCAGCGACTCCACAGGAACTGAGCGAGGACTTCGAGGAAAACTGAAGAACGCGATTCAGTCCTGGAGTTGTAAAACAATGCACGTGTGTGTGTGTCGGTTAGGTAATCTGAGCGTGCCACCACCACGGTCAGAACGTCCAGCCCCACTCACCGGTAACGTTGTAAAACAACACACGTGCGTGTGTGTCGGCTAGGTAATCTGAGCGTGCCACCACCACGGTCAGAACGTCCAGCCCCACTACCTGTAGCGCTCGCCGGCCGCACTCACCTCCCCTTTCCACAGGGGAAAACCTGCGACCGCCAGCGAGCCCTATCCGAGCCGGCAGCGGCTGTCCGAACGGCGCCGGCCGGCCGCACCACCCGCACTCGGTAACAATTAGCAGATAAATAACAGCGTCAATCCACCGCCCCAGAGGGCTCCTTCGAGCGCTCCGACCACACGGTCCCGGGCAGGAAGACGCCAAGTAAAAACAGTACTCACCTCTCAAGACCGATAAGATCCGAATCACGGACTTACGGAGCGATTGACCAGCGAAGCACGCCAGGCCAACAGCGAGAAGATCAAAGAGACCCGAACGTAGCTATCGGCGCGTAATTTATAGACTCGCGACCAGGTGCGCTACGTGTCACGTGCGTGACTTTGTTTACATTAGTACTCGACCTGCGCAGAGCGCGAGGAGATACATCCACTCTGTTTACTGCCACTGGCAGTCAGGAGGGAACGAAACAGAACCGCAGTGTATGAAGTGAAATGAATAGTGAGCAGGGCAGACTGTGACAGCAGAGCAGGTTGGATTCACTCATCCAGCTGGACAGCAAGATTCACTCACGGGTCAAACGGACCCAAACAAACTGATGTTTATAGTATGTTGCCACATAAACGGCTGTGTGTTCCTGTTTCTGAAGTGAGCGTCTACATAAATAACCTACGGATCAGGAATGAATCACAGAGAAGCAGGTGGAGTCGGCCGTTGGATCGAACACTTCACCTGCCTCGCTACCTGACTCTGCTGAAGCTGCTTTAGATAAAAGCGTCTGCCAGATGCATAAACCGAACAAACCCTAAGCCGTTTTAAAAGGGTAAGGCTGAGAGGGAAAGAGAGGCCAGAAAACTGGAAACGAGCATAATTTTGAGGGTAAAAGTTTTAAAACATTCTGGAAATCTCACACATCAGACTAAATGGGTTTTATTTGGACAAGGAACTGGCTGATAATGTAAATGTTTATTTTAGGTTTAAGGATTTTGATGATCAAATCCACCACAGGAAACTGGATTTAGTCTTTAACGCTCAGATCTTGGTTTAAAGCCACACGTTGCAATTTTTTCATATTTTTAACTGATTTTCTTGAACCAGCATGTGCTAAAATGACCCTTTAGAGGGTTAATGAAATGTCACCCAGCCTAGGGCTGGATGATGTTGAAAAAAAATAACATATTAATAAAAATTATTATTGAAAAAAAAAATACTGTAGTGAATATATTTTAGGTGCGGCCCTGGCCATTCTTTTGCTATTCCTTAACTACTTTCAATGAAGAACAGACAAACCGACTTCGCTTCCATATTTTATTTAATCGTCTTTATTTTACTAAGACTGGCTGGTTTCAATCAGTGTTCGTTTTTCTAGCAGAACTTCAGATTTCAGTTCAATTCATTATGTTTTTAAATCAAGGTTCAGCTGCAGCAGATTATTGACAACATACAGTGATATTTACAGACATGACAGGAAATGGCACGAGTGTGAGAACCCCCTTCCCCAACCCTAACCCTAACCCACTTAGTAAAGTGGAGCTGACGTGCCTGGGGCTGCAGTCTGCTTCCAGCATGTTTCCTGCATGTTTTAAATCATGAACACAGCTGTCTTATTTGATAGATACTAATACTAATACTAATACTAACACTAGATACTACAACACTTCAGCAAGTGAAGCAGTTTCAGCTATCATTTTCAACTACCAGCATTCAAACTGCATTGCTGCAAGAAATGTCCTTTTTTAGTTATAACTGGCTTTGGACATTTTGTTTCAACCAATAAATCAGCTGATATGCATCTATTAGCTATGCCTGTGCACACTCTGCTGATCACCATGCAACAGCTGCTATAGGGAGCCCAAGTCACTTCCGCACCACGGGTCCCCGGAAGAACAAAAAAACAGAATGCAAGTCAACGGGACTAAAAACGCTGTTTTCTAGTCTGCTTTACCCTGGATCACACATATGCTGTACTGCAATTTAAATGAAAAGTAATGATGGGTGTTTCGACCACGCCAGTCACGTACTTTGAGATTTATCAGCTTGCAAAAGTTTGTGTTTAGCATGACTACACACCAGAAATCGGCACATCGCATATGTGACGTCACCACATAATCTCCTCTCCTCTAGCGTAGCTGCTACTTACCACATGACCAGATTTATGGTGGTTCTTTCCTTCTGTGGGAAGTTTGCTGAACTTACAGCCCTTTTCCCTCAGTTTTCTCTGTGTCTGGTTCGATGACGTCACTTTCGTGAAGCGCATTTGTAGTCCTGGACTTATTTTCACACAAAACCTAACCCCCCCTCCCCCCTCTACCCCCCCTCCCCTCTACCCCCCCCCCCCCCCCCCCCCCCGTTCGAAAATAGGCGCGCTCTTGGTATCAAAATGTGTCTTTAAAAGCCACGGACATCATGTGTGACATCCATGGCACAAAACAAGCGGATTTAGAAAATAGCGTTTTTAGCCCCGTTGACTTGCTTTCGTTTTTTCGTTCATCTGGGGACCCGTGGTCCGGAAGTGACTTAGGCTCCCTGTAACCGGCTCACAGCTGCTACTCCGTGTATTTTTACATTTTAACATTCCTAAATTCAACCCAAAACACAACAGTCTTCAGTATTGTTTATAGGCTATTGACCGTCCTTTAGAGCAACCTATATGGGTCAACTACTTTTTGTGAGATCCACAGCAAGACGGATGAACCTTCAACTGCATCTTTAAACGAAACAGCCTACATATGTATTTTTACCAAGTTTAAACAAAGTTTTACCTTTAATCAGCTCATAATCCTGTTTAGGCTACAGGTCAGGTTAGAATCTGCAGATGTGAGCGTGTTGTCGTTATGACTCAGATGAATCTCAGGGGAAAACATTGCACCTGCACAGTATTGTCCTGCGGTTTTGATGATGTGAGCATGTTTAAATGCTGATGTTGGCTCTGCTGTGCCTGAATGAAGCAGCTGCTGGTGTGCAGTTCGTGCTGCACACAGCACGAACAAACGTTGAACGGTCGGAGCTTTCACGCAGTGATGAGTTTAAAACTGGACCTGCAGCAGAACACAGGGTCTGTGAGAGTCGAGTCTCCATCCACACCTTTGTTTGTTCATGTGGTCACAAGCTCGGGGAACACGAGCAGTTCCTGATCCTGATAACACAACTCTGTGTATTATTTATTATTCATGTCCCGTGCTGCTCGTGTCTCAGAAACATCTCAGTCCCACACAAGCGTCGCCCTGCTGCAGGAGGTGTGGTGACCAGTGTGTAAAAGTGGACAAAACGGGATTTATAGAAGACTTCATTGTTTGATTTTTCATCACTTTCAGAAAAGATTTAAATTCCAGACTGGACTGAAACTTGCAGAGCTCCCAGAGATAGAAGCACTCCAGCTGTTTACATGATGTGAGGTCCATGATCTGTTTATCTGAGACTTTAGGACTTGGCAGAGCTGTTGGACTGGCTGTCACCATTAATCTGATGTGATGCTAGCCAGCTGCACGCAGACACAGCATGGGGTAGAACAGGCTAGCTCCAGGGATATGGGCTGTACCACAGCTCTCAGGTTCAGGTGGATGATGTGAGGAAAGTGGGAAACCAGCATCAAAACTGTCTGGCAGTGTGAAAGCCAGTCGGGTTTGTTAGCTTTTCTTAAACCTCTCAGATCGAACATCTGAACTCTCAAACAGAACAAAACAAACGCTCTGAATCTGCTTTCTAAGAAATCTACATCAATCACACTTCCCCTGTTTGTTTTCAGGCTGCGCCTCCATGAGGCGAAGGTAATTAAGGACCGGAGGCACCACCTTCGAACTTACCCAAACTGCTTTGTGGCCAAGGAGCTCATTGATTGGCTGATGGAACATAAGGAAGCCACAGACCGGGACACGGCCATTAAGATCATGCAGAAACTCTTAGACCAGAGCATCATTCACCACGGTGAGGCTGTGCTCCCTCTGTGTGTGTGTGTGTGTGTGTGTGTGTGTGTGTGTGTGTGTGTGTGTGTGTGTGTGTGTGTGTGTGTGTGTGTGTGTAAAACGGGGGAGTTTTTTCTATAACAGCGAAGTTCTTGCTTGACGTTTTCTGGGAACAGGCCGAGTCTCTAACTGGACGATTCTCCACGTCTCCCAGCCAGTTTGGCTCCAACACAACAGTTTCCCCAGAGACAGGAGAGAACGTCCTCATTCCTCTTTTCATCAGAACTTTTAGAAAAATTGTTCCAGGATGTTTAAACATCAGTGACCAGTTCATACAAACCCAATAATTCCATGATCCCATCACATTTATATACGTGTGTAAATTCTGATACTGTTAGACCTTAAAGAGCAAGTCACCCTCTTCCAGAGTCCAACTCCACTTCCATTTCCTGTTTGAAAAATGCACCACAAGGAGGTGCTGGCTGGCAGACAGAGAGGGCCGAGCCGCTAACAAATACACAAACAAATACAAAAATTCACGGGCTCAAAGCAACATTGTGACATCATATGGTACCAGCTAACGTCATAGTGTACCTCTTAGCCAATAATGATGGCAGATTAGCAAAATTATTGCCTATACATGTCTACAGCACCATTAACACTCATTTATTTAGTTCATCAGCAAAAAAAAAGGAGACTTGGGGGTGACTTGCTCTTTAAGAACCATCATTGGTCTGGCTGAATTATGACATCATTGTGAGGAAATCTTATTTTTTAGTGGAAATCCATCACAAGATTTACTGTACTCATGATTTATCAGCCACAAACAACATCATTAAATTTAGATTTTTCTTTATTAGAGACATGCTGGCCTGTCTAAACACCAATGTGTGTATTATTTGTGTCTTTCTAATACTTGTTTTTCTACACTAAACACTGGAGTCAGTAATAACTTTCTAAATGCATTTCTTGTAGCAGAATGCGACCCTCTCAGGTAAAAAGTGTCTTTACGCTGCGTTTCTGCTCCTTTGCAGTGTGCGACGAGCACCGGGAGTTCAAAGACTTGAAGCTGTTTTACCGCTTCAGAAAGGACGACGGCACATTTCCACTGGATAACGAAGCCAAGGTCTTCATGAGGGGACAGAGGATCTATGAGAAGTATGAACACCAAACACACACATGCGGCCATGCCAAAGCACACACTCTGGTGCTTTCATTCGTTTTTAGTTTGTAATTCAGAAATAGGGCCGCAAACATGCTGATGGTGTAGAAGAGGAGAATATTAAGACCTGTGTGATAAATGCAGGAAGAGAGATCTTATGGTTTAGATGTGATCTCTTAATTCTTCATCCCTGACCCTAACCTTCATCATACGTAAAAATGAGTGAAATCCCTTTCAACTCACGGACTTTAGGGAGAAGAACACAACTCCGGCATTTTGTTGGGAACTGCCTTGGCCTAAAATATCTCATGGGTGGTTTAGATTTGCAGGGAAAGTAAATGACTCCACATGTTCTCCTCCCAGCTGCAGTTTCAAACCAGTCTCTTTTGCTTCTAACAGCAGTAATCTTAACCCTCTGGAGGCAGGCGTTGCAGATTTGCAATGTTAAAACCTGCCTACCTGGTTACTCCACACACATATTTCATGAGCATTTTAAACGCAGAAGTACCCCTGAAGGACTTAGTTGTTCGTCCTTTTATCAAAACTTATTTTGAGCCTGAGAGGGTTAAAGAGCGGCTTCACTGAGAAACCGTTTCTACTTATTATTTTTTAAACTGGTCGGTCACCCTGAGTTTAACATGCAGGCTCTATCTTTATTTCCTGGTTTAGCTTCTGATAGAAAAGAGAACGCTCGCTTCAGTAAACCTGACAGATCTACGTCACACTTAACGTCAACAGACTCACCCATCTTGGCTCGCGACGGGGAGGGCTTTTGTTGGTTTAGCGTCCAGGAAACAGCAGAGAATGTCTCGGCTAGCAGAAGCTAACCGCAAGGATTAGCAACTCCACCACACAGCAGAACTCCTCCAGGCTTGTGTTATTTGTGGAGATAGAACATCAGTGTTGCATAGCAGATAGAATCAGTGGTAGAGTCGCATTAATGTTAGCCAATCAGAGGTGAGATGTCCAAGTATCAGGAAATAAGACTCCAAATCCTGCCTTCTGAAGCTACTTTCTCCTCCAGCTGACTTCTACGTCAGGAGCATCAGGAGCATCTGAGCTTCTTTCCCCCAAAGAACGACTTACAAGGTATTCATTCCTACTAGAGACCACTGCAAATGTACTGGAAATATGAGCAAACTTGGGCTTCAGTCTAGTTTATGATAAGCCTAAAAAAGAGATGCAACTCCGTTTGGATCCCATTTGGACCCAAACGTCTCTGACTAAGTTCAGGCCTGTTTTTTTCCCAAGAAGTTTAAATCTTACAACTTAATTTTTATCAAACAAAAAACTTCTAAAATACTTAAAAAGATTTTATCTAACATCAAATTTAATTCATTAATTAGTCATCGGGTGGTTGTAACATTGTTGTCATCGAAAAACAGCATGGCAATTAAAACAAAACAATAGTTACACACACACACACACACACACACACACACACACACACACACACACACACACACACACACACACACACACACACACACACACACACACACACACACACACACACACACACACACACACACATCTCTTGTGTTGTGACTTCTATACCATTCCTATCTGAATGACCTCAGTTTGAAGGAACAGATTAGTTCTACTCAGATTGACAAGCTAAAGGCTAGTCTGAGCAGGACCAGAGTGATTACTTCAGCCTAACAAGTCCAGTCTCAAAAATATCATAGTGGTTCACGCAAATGCTGTTTAAAAATAAGTTCCTACATTTCAACGCTCACGTGGGCAATGGCAGTGAGACCTGAAGAGGTGTGGTTGAGAGGACCCCCCCTCCCCCATTCTGAATTAGAGCGGTGTCTTGTTGGACATCTGTGCTAGTCGTGGATTGTCCATAATGAACACCGTGTTCAGGGATGAAGATGCCTAGGCACCTTACAAGAGTGATGGAAAAAATCTAATCCTCTAGATACAGTACACGAGGATACTTAATCTTTATGGATTGTATTTCTCAGAAAATGAATGATATTTTTAGCCTTGCTAGCAGAATGATTTCATTGATGACACCAGTTAGCATGTTCATGTTGTAATTTGTTGTTAAATATCTATAATCTTATCAGGTTTTATACATTCTAACATTTCTTTAATGACTTTTTAAATGTTCACTTTTCTGATTCAGAGTTTTAAACGTGTAGAATCAGAAGGCATCTCTAGCTTCAGCGGTTTAAAGTGTTCACTGCTGACTGACAAACCTCACATGAGGCCTAAAGCGAGGTTGGTGAACAATGCCTCCACAATCAGAGACCAGGATGATTTAAATCAGAGTCCAGCAGTCACGAGCAGTCGCGTTCCTCCCATTCCTACATGTTCCAAAACCAGCTTCTGTACAAAGTGTATGAAAAACTCAGAGTGTGCCCATTTCCTTTCACCACTCCTAAGCCTGATACTGGAAAATGAATAATAATAACTTCTCCTCCCACGTGCATTTAACTCAAATACTTTCAATTTCCTTTCCTGTAATGTCCACCATGTCATGTGTTTGTGCATCGGTTTTAGGTCTAGTGTTCCTTAGGTTTACATCTAAACTCTGTGTAGATGACACATGGTTTAAAAGGGATATAAACATGTTCTACCGAAAGGTTGATCTAAATGTCAAAGGTTGAAGCCTCTGCTCCGTCTCCTGAAAGTTACGTGATGATTACATAAAAGTTCAGCATGCTTGTAGAGGCACTGGTGCATCTCAGAGAGCAGCGCTCCGGGCTCGGCTCTACTTACGGAGCAGCTAAGTGCACCTCCTGGTCAGGAGAGCTCAAGTTACCTCACTTTAGGTTATCATGATCATGGTGTGCTTACAGCAGGTCACACATAATAATGCATTACTGACATCTATTATATTGAGAATATGATGTGCAATGGTCAGTCTGTTAGAGCCAACGCATCCTGTTGATTTAACAGGTTTATGTTGACTTATTTCAACGTTTGCATTAAGACGCTATAGTTTTTATTCCTATCTTATCAGTTCTGCTGCAAGAACTCCATCTATCAAAGTTTGATGTCCAGATCAGGTCATGAACTTTGTGGGGTTGTTGAATATAACTTTGAGGCATATAAGCAGTTCTGGGTGCTCCCTTAGAGCCATTTTCTGGTTTTTTAAAACTCAATTCAGAGATTAAATCTGAGAAAAACAGCTTGTTCCTGATTTAAGGAAGATTAAGTTCCTCTCGTCGTGAGCGCCTCAACAATTATGTAACTTAATGAGGCACACTGGGAGGTTGGCAGCACGTGTCGGTGAGAATTTGAGGCACGCTGCACCTAATTTAGGGTTCATTTACTTAAATTTGGGTTTACTAAGCTACCAGTTGAGTTAAATAAGCTCAGAAGCTCCACAACACCAGTGTCTGCTCAGATTTGTTAAACTGATGGTTTAATCCAATTTTACCCAAGTTGAGGAAGTCATCAAACCAGCTAGAGCTGTGTCCACTAATGGGGGTAGGGGTGTTAGGTTGGAGGGAGGCTGGGGCAGTAGATGAGATGGATCATCATTTCTGTTGGGATATCATATAAATGTTTTTGGCTTCAATGAGGAGATTAACACCACCCTTTACTGATGCCACTTGATGGTTTGGATTAGCCAAGATTACCACCAGGAAAGTTCTAACATGTTTGTTTGTTTAGTCCAAACCCTTTTCTAGTGATCCAACAGAACACACCTGGACTTGTCCTGTTCTGGTCTGGTCTCATACCCACTTACGTTAATGTGGTTTTACAGGTTAATGGTTTGCTGCCAGATAGACAGAAAGTATCTGGTTCCTGTTGAACCGGTCCGATTCATCCGCCTGGATCCTACTCCCATTGTTTAAATCTCAGTGTTCATGCAGCTACTGCTGCTGTGGTTTCACAGTTTTGATTTATAGAAGCAATATTTTTAAATTTCCTGTCTAATGGTTTTAGTTAGAGTGTTTGTGTGGAACGTAGCAGCAACAAACAGAAGTCTGGGTATTTATGACATTATAAAGTTTATACAGGGATAGTTTATAACTTTGAATATGTGTGAGTGTGTGTGTGTGTGTTTGTGTGAATGCGTGTGTGATTGAGTAAGTTCTGCTCTTGTGTACCTGTTTTGATTTTGTTCACCCTGAAGAGACCACACCCTCTGGTTCTGGCGCTCCAGATCAGTAAACTAGATAACAAGACACCACATGTGAAGCTGAAGGTTATGTTGACTTATTTTATTTAGTTAAATCTTGCTTGCAAACGGCATCAGTGACCCTAAAGCATTCATTTTAACGGGAGACTAGGTAGTTTAGGCTAGCACCCCCTAGTGTCCGTTTGAGGAACCAAAAGCAAAACCCATCTTCTCGCCGTGCGTTCGTCCTTTTAACACTTTAATCTAACAGCTGAAATGTTTCCCCAGCCTTGTTTAGTGTCTAGAAGAGTGAGTCAATAAATTAAACAAATCAGCTGGATTCATGATCTAAAACCTGCAGGAAACGTGCTGGAAGCAGACCGCAGCGCCAGGTATGTCAGCACAATGTAATCAGTGAGTTGAGTTCAGTTCATTATGCCAAAGGTAAAGGTTTCTTATGTAAGGAAACCCATCAGATTGCATCGAGCCACAGACTTGTGTCAGCATCTTTAAGGCAAAGCCCATACAAAGCAAACAAATAGAATAGAATAGAATAGAATAGAATCCCACAGTGGAGAAATTCACTTGCTACTGCAGCACATACACTTACAGAAAAGGAAGAAAAAAAAAATAAGATTAAACGTAAACACACAAAGGCAGTAAGCTGTTGTTGTAACCTTCAACCACTAAAATGAATAAAAAGAAAACTTGTGTTTCCAGAACTATGCAGCATAAGAGACACAGACCCATAGTACATCTGGTGTTGCACAAGTATTGAACACATACTGAGTATTGCATTGATGTTATTGTGTACCAGGATAATGCCAGTACCAGTTAAAATGAGGACTTATGCACTCTTACTGCAGAGGGGATGAATGACCTACAGTAGCATTCTGTTTTACATCTGGGATGTCTCAGGCTGCCTCTGAAGGAGCTGTCCATAGTCTCCAGAGTGGAATGCAGTGGGTGGGAGGGATTTTTCCAAGATGGAGGTAATCTTCACCACCTTTCACACAGGTGTTCCTTTCACACATCTCCCCAACTGAATCCAGTGGGCAGCCCAGAACCGAGCTAGCTTTGTTAACAAGCTTGTTAAGTGTCTTTCTGTTACCGACACCGTCTGCGCCCCAACAGACCACAGCAGAGCCAACATGAAGTGATAAAAGGATTTTAGCAGATTGGAATTAATTCTGAAGGACCTCAGCCTCCTCAGGAGGTTTACTGGTGAGTGAGGTGAGTGAGGAGAAGTGTTTCTCTGGAAGTCAGTCACCATTTCCTTTCTTTTACTGGTGATGGTGGTTACGCTTATACCAGCCCACAAAGTCCATGATGACTGATCTGCACCCCACACACTGTACAACATGCTTTCTATGTTGCCCTTTTAAACACCAGTGTTTCCCTGCTGCCATGCACCTGACTTGAATGAGTGCTTAACAGGCATCTGCAGCACTTGATGACCTCCTGAAGAGGCAATGTAAATCAGGCGTGCTGAAGCAGACACATGGAAGATGTGCAGGCCAGTGTGTCCTGAGGACCAGGGTTGGGAAACACTGCTCCAGGTCATTCCCCTCAGACACACAGCCGACAATGGCCGAGTCATCAGAGAACTTCTGGAGGTGACAGCTGCTGGTGTTGCAGCTGAAGTCCGAGGTGTAGAAGGCGAAAAGGAAGGGAGCGAGCACCGTACCCTGTGGAGCTCCAGTACTACACACAACCACCTCAGATGTACAGTTATGCAGCCTCACGTACTGTGCCCTTTTGCTGTGGTAGTTGATGTCCATGCAGTCAGACGTTTGTCCACTCCTGCACCCCTCATCGTCTGCAGTAATAGACACAGCTGGACGGTGTTGAAGGCATTTGATTCATATGCAAACTGCTGTGGGTCTATCTCTGGGCTCACCACGGAGTGTAGGTGGGTGAGCATGAGTCTCTCCATGGTCTTCATCAGATGGGCGGTTAAGCGACTGGGGCTTGAGAAGTCACACACACACACACACACACACACACACACACACACACACACACACACACACACACACACACACACACACACACACACACACACACACACAAGTTCATTTTCATATTGTGAATTGATCATTTTTGGACACATAGTGGTGTTGTGGTTAACTTTGTCATCCAATAGTAAAAGTGGGGAGTTTGCATGTACAGTATGTTAGTGCTTGTGTGTGTGTGTGTTTCCTGTATGTTTCCTCCCACAGTCCAGTAATGGGTCACTTGATTATTCTGACAACATTTTGTTGAAATCAGTTTCTAGTCAGTCTAAATCCTCCGGCCGAGGTGCAGACATGAAGCGTTCATGTTCAGCTCTTTGTGCCGTAGGGTTGTGCAGCTGCCTCTTAAGAGAGTTTCCACAGTGACGCAGAGCTGTGGGAAGGGTGATTATGGGTAATGCTCTGGTTTGATTTGTGGGGGATATTGTTTTTACTACAGAAGCAGCTGCAGTAGATGGGGAGTGCTGAGATTTGATTATGTCCACATTTTCACCCATAAAGGTGTCGCTGCATAAGAAATTTAAAATGGCCAGTGCATTTTGATCTATATAACACATTGTCTTTTGGTCTCGACAGGTTGATGAACACAGAAAACAACTTGGTACAGACTCGAGAGGAGGAGGGTGTGTCGTTTGAGCGGACGCTGGTGGCGTCGGAGTTCATCGACTGGCTGCTGCAGGAGGGGGAGATGCCGACCAGGGAGGAGACCGAGCAGCTGGGACGGCGGCTTCTAGAACATGGCATCATTCAGCACGGTGAGGAGGAGGAAGGTTACACGGTTTAATGTTTAGGAACCTAGCATGTCAACAACAAAACGACTAATCTGTTGTGGTAAATCAGTGCAGAGTTGGACAAAAGTTCATGCTTTCTCCCTAACGGTGATGGTTTAGTGACTAAATAACATTTCTCCTAGTTTTTCCGCATTATACAGACGTAATGTTCGAGTTTCAAATAAAACTACATCTAGTTTTAGAAAATGCTTTTCCTTCTGCTTCCTCCGGCCTCAAACAATGTCCCCCAAAGGGATGAGAGTCTGGCTTGGGCCTTGCTGTTGACAAATTGATCATCTGTAAAAGACTCTTGAGGAAAGTAAATATGGTTCTGAGTCCGGTCCCGGTTCGTGTGATCCAGTAAGATATCTGTGCTGGCACATCCGGTTCTCATTAACCCAGAAACCAGAACATTTCGAGCTCTGTGCTTCACATGCTGCTGCTGCTGCTGTTGCTCTAAATATAATCCAATCCCTGTCAGATTGGGAGTTGTAGCATAAAAAGACCCACTTTATAATTTAGCGTCTTGTTCAGAGTTCTGGGCTAAAACACCTAAAAACATAAATTAGGTTAATTTAATCTCTGGAAAGAATCTGAATATTTTAAAAATAGAAACAGTGTTACTTTGGTTCCTGAACCTCATTAGAGCTCCTTTAGGATCCTGGCTAAGCTAAACTGGCACACGTACTATCTTTTTTTTTTTTATGTCATGATTTGTCCCTTTTCAAGAGATACACATACGGACATACATACATTAGTAGATGGCAGAATTGAGCGGTTTAGCGATGATTAAAACTTTTGAGAGTTTAAGTTATGACTTTTATCAGTCCAGAATCAATATAGACTGCCATAAAAAATACCTAACGCCAGGCCAACGTGGATTAAGAGTCAAATAAATAGCTTTGTAAAATTCAAACAGGAGTTTGAACCACAAAGACACCAAAACCCTTTTCAGATAGACATTCTGGAACATTTGCGGACAATTCAATCCGGTTTTTAACCAGAACTGTGTTTTCAGACACACCACTTTTGTACCGGAACTTGTCCTTTCGGCTGCCTTCACACAGCAGGAAAAAGTTCCAGATGTCGGGGGGGGGGGGGGGGGGGGGGGGGGGGTCGGACTTATGTTAAGCATAATTCTGCGCACACGATGATGCATAAGAGACCTGGATGATGAAGCTCAATGGTTAAAGGAATCACTGAAGCGGTGTGAAGCGCTCCGTCGCGCGTCTGGACGGTACCGTAGGAGGCGAGCTGCCATTGTTTGCCGCATGCTACAGGAGCGAGCTATCTAGGTGCGCACAGCGTCCCCCGGTCCCCTCCTCCCCCTCCTCCCTGTCCGGAACTCACCAGTCTGAAGCAGCAACCTTGTCCGTAACAAGTCCGGACCTGTTACTAGGGGCTTCGTCCGGTTTAATTACGGAAAACGTTATCCGGATGTTTGTATTCAGACACAAAGGTCTTACGGACAGAGTCTGGAACATTTCCGTTTTTCATGGCTTGTCTGAAGGGGGCTCAAGGGAAGTTATCACTGGATGCACCTTGAGGGGTCAAAGTTGCCATGTTTTATTTGCTTTCCGTAAGTTTTGCCTTCATTCTGCCATCTTTACCCACGCTGACTTTTAAAAAAATCAAAACAAGACTCAGGCGAGTTTTGCCTTCAGAAGATAAAACAGTGCAAGTCATTCAGAAACTGAGCCAAAACGAGAACATGCTTACAAAGCTAATTAATGTGTGTTGTTGAAAATATTGTTTTTGGTAATTATTTTAGAGACTCTGAGCTGTGTTGCTCCTTGTTTTTAACAGATGGGCAGTGCCTCTGCGTTGTGTGCAGAGTAATCAAACACATTACCTGCAGGTGTGAAGGATGATTGCTGCCTCTGTTGAATCAGACTAATTACAGACAATATTACCAGCTGCTGTTTGCATGTCCCACTTTTATAAAAGCACCTTTCACTTCCTGTCTGAGGGTGAGTTTAAACAAGTTGGACTCTGACCTGCAGGTATCTTTTCCTGCTCTCGTACGGTTCATTAGCGACCACTTTTGTAGGAAGTTTCTCCCGAGCAGCTGCCTAGATGAGTTTTTGCAGATGTCACCACATGACAGAAAAATGGACTTGGATCTAGAGTGTGATGAGATTAGACTGCTTAGAAGTTACATGGCTTCATTGCTGAAGGGTTTATTTTCTCTAAAAGCAGGTTAGAAGAAAAAAGACTCATTTCTGGTGATTCAATGTTTAAATTTCTTCTTGTTAAATGCCAAACTCCACTGACACTTCATCTTTTCATGTACAGGTGCTGGCCAGTAAATTAGAATATCATCAAAAGGTTGAAAATATTTCAGTAATTCCATTCAAAACGTGAAACTTGTACATTATATTCATGCAATGCACACAGACCAATGTATTTCCAATGTTCATTACATTTAAATTTGATATTTATAGGTGACAACCAATGAAAACATCAAATCTGGTATCTCAGAAAATTAGAATATTCTAAAGGCCAATGAAAAAATGTTTGTTTCTCTAATGTTGGCCAACTGAAAAGAATGAACATGAAAAGAATGTGCATGTATAGCACTCAATACTTAGTCGGGGCTCCTTTTGCCTCAATAACTGCAGTAATGCGGCGTGGCATGGACTCGATCAGTCTGTGGCACTGCTCAGGTGTTATGAGAGCCCAGGTTGCTCTGATAGTCGTCTTCAGCTCCTCTGCATTGTTGGGTCTAGCGTATTGCATCCTCCGCTTCACAATACCCCATAGATTTTCTATGGGGTTAAGGTCAGGCGAGTTTGCTGGCCAATCAAGGACAGGGATACCATGGTCCTTGAACCAGGTGCTGGTGGTTTTGGCACTGTGTGCAGGTGCCAAGTCCTGTTGAAAGGTGAAGTCTGCATCCCCATAAAGTTGGTCAGCAGCAGGAAGCATGAAGTGCTCTAAAACTTCCTGGTAGACGGCTGCATTGACCCTGGACCTCAGGAAACAGAGTGGGCCAACACCGGCAGATGACATGGCACCCCACACCATCACTGACGGTGGAAACTTTACACTGGACCTCATGCAACGTGGATTCTGTGCTTCTCCGCTCTTCCTCCAGACTCTGGGTCCTTGATTTCCAAAGGAAATGCAGAACTTGCTTTCATCAGAAAACATAACTTTGGACCACTCAGCATCAGTCCAGTCCTTTTTGTCCTTGGCCCAGGCGAGACGCTTCTTGCGCTGTTTCTTGTTCAAGAGTGGCTTGACACACGGAATGCGACACCTGAATCCCATGTCTTTCATGAGTCTCCTCGTGGTGGTTCTTGAAGCGCTGACTCCAGCTGCAGTCCACTCTTTGTGGATCTCCCCCACATTTTTGAATGGGTTTGTCGTCACAATTCTCTGCAGGGTGCGGTTATCCCTAGAGCTTGTACACTTTTTTCTACCACATTTTTTCCGTCCCTTCGCCTGTCTGTTAATGTGCTTGGACACAGAGCTCTGCGAACAGCCAGCTTCTTTAGCAATCACCTTTTGTGTCTTGCCCTCCTTGTGCAAGGTGTCAATGATTGTCTTTTGGACAGCTGTTAAGTCAGAAGTCTTCCCCATGATTGTGGTGCCTTCAAAACAAGACTGAGGGACCTTTTAAAGGCCTTTGCAGGTGTTTTGAGTAAATCAGCTGATTAGAGTGGCAGCAGGTGTCTTCTATATTCAGCCTTTTCAGAATATTCTAATTTTTTGAGATACCAAATTTGGAGTTTTCATTAGTTGTCACTTATGAATATCAAATTTAAATGTAATGAACATTGGAAATACATTGGTCTGTGTGCATTGCATGAATATAATGTACAAGTTTCACGTTTTGAATGGAATTACTGAAATATTTTCAACCTTTTGATGATATTCTAATTTACTGGCCAGCACCTGTAGATGCATCCTAATGGAGAACTATAAAGGCTTCCTTCACCAAAACTCTGTTTTACAACAATAAATAAAGTGATTCCAGAACCTCCAACAAAAGTAAAAGTTTCTCTGTTCTCTCACGCCCAGCTTGAGGGGGAAAGATGGTTTAGGGAACAAACTACTTGGATTATGCAAACTTAGGAGAAATTCAGAGGTTACATTTTACTACTCAACTTCAGGAAGGAAAAAAAGTCTTTAGAGAAAATGACAAATGTGTTGTAAAGACCAGTCGTCATGTGATTCAGCTTTTTCTGCTTCTCCGTCTCTTCTGGGCCCTCAATGAGTCCATCTGTTCTCTTGTTTCTCATTCACTTCCTGTGCTCAAGCTCCAAGCAGCTGCTGCAGAACTGAGCAGCTCCAGAGCAGAAAAATGTAGAGACACACACACACACACACACGCACACGCACACACACACACGTACATAACAGGTCTATTAGCTTTCATTTCCACATCCGTTTCTAACTTCCTAATACAAAACCTCCTCATTACCTCATGTCTGTTTTTATTATTATTCAGTCACCAACAAGCATCACTTTGTCGACGGACTTCTTCTCTACCAGTTTCGCATGAACTTCCGGCGGCGGCGGCGTTTGATGGAGCTTCTTCAAGAACGCAGCCGCAGCATCCCTGAGAGTTACGACAGTCCCTTCTGTCTGCGTAAACAGCACTCGGATGGAGGGAACACCAGCTTCCTGTCAGGTACATATATGGACATGTAAAGTAACGAGTTGCTTTCTACTCCTCTGCCCTACTGGTTGAAAGTGGAATTACAACTGCCGTAAACAACCTTGCTGCAGCCTGCTGTAGCTAATACTAACAATGAGCTAAAAATAGCATGAGCCAGCTAGTACTTATATAAACCAAGAAGTAAAAGAGCCACACTATTGGAACTGAAAAAAAAAATTATATTTTTCCAGCAGCAACAAAGCCAGGTCACCATCAGTCCATGATTTTGTAGCTTCCTTTAGCTCCTGCTAACTAGTGTAGGGTGTGTCGATGTTCACTCTGGTTCTTAACCTCCAAAGTTATTACTCTCTTATTTGTCCTTCCAGGCTCCACCACGATCCCAACAGAAGCAGCTAACTTCTTTTTTTCTTCTTCTTGAGCTTTTTATTGACGATCGGCAAACTGAAAATGCTAACCACTAGCATCACAGCTAACAGCTGTGAAGCAGGCAAAGAGTACCTCTTAGGACACCTACCGGCTCCACAAAACAATCAAGTGCAGTCTTTGGTCAGCTGAGGGCTGCAGAGTGGTGTCAGATATAAAACTGGCCATGTTTCTAACTCAACAATCACTGAGATAAATGATAAAACTCAAGCTTAACGGTGTGGATGACTGAAAAAACAAATTCTAATGATTATTTCTGATTATAATTAGTCACTGAGTTTTTCACACAGGCTACCCCTATCTCATTAGCATTAGCTTCTGATAGAAAGTAGAAGATGAAATGCTAGGATTTGACAAGCCTCACATATCTATGTCACACTGTCGTGCCCGCCCACAGGAGGGCTTTTTAAAACATTTTGCAGCAAGGAGAGAGAGCGGAGAGTGTCTTTGTGGTGGCGACTTTGCAACATGGCTTAAGACATTCTGTTAGCCAATCAGAGGCAAGGTGTGTGCATATCATTAATAATAATGAGCAGTCCTGATGTTTAAGACCACCTCTGCACCAGCTAACTTCTGCATCTCAGAACAGGAGCATCATAGCTTTTTTATTTTTCTAATGACTCATAAGGCTTTGATTTACTCTAGAGAACACTACAAATGTATTGAATAAATGAGTGAACCACACCTTTAAAGTAGAAAAAAACTATCTGTTGTTAAACAGGAAGGACATCTGTTGTCTTATTTGGAAGCCATGTTTAAAAGCCGGAGATTATCTGTGTTTTTGACACGTTTACTTCATGTTTTTTATTGTTTGTCGACTCCGATCCATGAAAACGGACACTGTAATAATTCTGGTGGGCTGGACTCATGTTCCTGTTATAAGGTTACCAGGGCAGCTCTGTTTGTGTTGCTAGGTGGACTCTCGACTCTTTATCACATCTCCAAAAGGACGTTTCTCAGCTGTAGTTGCTTGTGGTTACTTTGGTATTCACTCTTTAATCAGAAAAGTTTGAGTGTGTAGGAGTTTGACAGAAATAATCTCTAGCATCTACTGTTGTTGTTGAACACTTGTGGAACATGCTTTTATTGTGAAAGGGGTTTCTTTGCTCATAGTTGCTTGTAAACAAAAAATAAGATGCATCATAAAAGTGGAACTGGGTTGTTTGAATCAGCAAGTCGTGGTGGAAAAAGCAGCAGTGGAACAACAAATGTTTTCCGTCTAGCCAGTCGTGATCAGTTGAATCTGGGAAGGAACTCATGTGAAATCAAACCTATTTTAGAAGTTTCAGGTAATTCTGTAGCAGAATTTATTATGAAAAGCTCATAAAGAAGTGAAATGACTGATAAAAGCTGCCAATGCAAAAGCATTTGTAACAAACAACATCTTACATGAAAACGTGAGGTTCATCAGGAATATCGCCCACAGCTGATGGAATTCCTCATTACAAACACGGAGATTCTGGTGCAGCTAGTGAGGAACGCTGCTCTGCTTTGGGACTCAGACGTAAACATCTGGCTAGGTGGATTTCATAAGCAGCTACTTCTGCACCTTTCAAAATGTCTTCATAATATTTTTATTTAGTCCGATATGATGCTGAGTCATTGAGCGTGTCTCGACGTTGGCTCATTCATCTTTATCGTAGCTAAAGATCAGAGCTTCACATAACAAAAGAACTAGCTCCAAGTGCAGTTGTTGTCATTTTGAAACCGTAAAAGGTGAAAGATTCCTAATGTGATCTTATGCACAGATCTAAGTCTTCTTCTGAAACAAAGGCAGAGCAGCATTTTTATTTGAGTAGAATGAATAAAATACATTTAAAAAGCTGCAGGTCAACCGTTCTACAGTAGCCCTAAACCAGGGATTCCCCAAGTGTGGTGTGCGCACCCCTGGGGGTGCGC